TGACTTTGTGGTACTCTTGTAAAGAGAACGTGTTGTTGTTGCACAGGATGCTTTGTCCTGTGGCCCTCAGAGCACTGCTGCCTCCAGTACAACTAGGGGACGTGGTGTTTTTAAAATATTTATCTTCTCAGCAGCCTTAATGAGTGCTGAAAAAAGCTGGCAAAGGCAGTCATGGAGGCATACATCTATGGCTATCATATGTCCCTGCCTCTCTTACCCTCTCTTTGTTCAAACAAAAAACTGCATGAAATACTGGCCAAGTCTCTCAGAGGATTTATTTTCACTTGAAGACTTCTATAATAAGTGTGTATGATTTATGGTGTAAATGACTATGGCTATGACTAAAATCACTTGGCAGTTTTCCCCTGCTGGTACATTGTTGTGAGGACTGATTTCTCTGGATGAGCTGTTTATGTGCTTTGAAAAAGAGGTCATCTTTTATTCCACTGTAGAATAAGGATTTATTCCTTACTACTATCAGAGAAATGGAAACATGCATCTTCCAGTGCCTTTTTCTCAGGCATAGAGTATCAGGACATTTATAGGTATGCAAATAGTGTGGTGCATGTACATTACTCATGTTCTGGCATCCACTTGTGGAGTTACACATGGATTGTATGCTGGGAAGAGCTCTGGCAATTATCTTGTACTTACCTACAGGTTTTGCCAGAGACAAATTCCTACTAAACTCAGTGGGAGTTCTGCAATTGATTTCCTTGGAAATTTGATTGGCATGAATAATTACATTGTCAATGGCATGTTCATGCTTGAAGGACCTACTGTTTAACAGTCAATTATTTCAGGTAAAGGTAGTTCTTCTAATGACCTGGTTGTACTGCTGAGTTTGTGTGACAATACTACTTTACAGTGTACAAGTCACAAAAGGGGCTTTGGCTTAAGAACTGACATAACTGAAAGTATGTCAGTTATATAAACAGCTATATAAAAAACTAAGCAGCACTAGGGAACATCCATGAGCATTGGAACCTGGTTGTCTGTGCCATCAATTTTTTTAAATCCTACCTGGCATGATTTTGGCTTGGGTTAAGTAACATTTTACCCACCAGCTCCTAGACCTAGCTCAGGAACAAACATGAGCAACAGGCCATTTCCCATAAGTGGTCTGCATATGGCCATCCTATTTTAGAGAACAAGAGAGTCTAGCAGTAGGGACACAGTCTGTCCTGTGATAGCTGGCCTCGGTGTCAGAGACAAGATTCAAGCACATTTAGTTTAATATTGCAAACACTGTCACAAATGTCTAGGGCATTTTCTGGAAAAACCTTCTGGTGGCATTGGAGCAAGTTTATTTCTTACTCAAAACCATTTTCAAACTCTCTCCCTCCTTGTTTTGCAGCTTGACGGCTCACTCTGTAAAGCCCAACTGCTATGCAACGTTCCAGCCTCCATGAGCAGCAGCTGTACCTTTGCTGGAATGACAATATTTACACAAGAAAGGGATTTCTTAAGAGTATGCTTAAATAATGCAAACTGAATCTGTTTTCCATTTGTTTGCAAACAGTCAAAATTGTCTTCAGATTATTACTCTCCCCTTCTGTCTATCTCTAGAAAACTGCAAGGAGAAATCAAGTACAATTTTGCAGTGAAAGAAATCTGCCTGAAACCAACCAGACTGTGAACTGTGCCTAGTAAATGTGCCTTTCCTGTCCTAATCCAACACCACAGGTCTGCCCTGGAGAAACACTCACTGAGTTTTAAGCGTACGTTGGAAGCCTCTCTGAATTCTTCCATCTTAGGCGGCCCACAGAAAAATCTGGGGTGCTGGGCAGGGAGAAGGGCACAGTGATCCTTTGGGAGAGGCTCCAGCCCTGTGCCACCGCTGCCTTCCCTGTCCCCATCCTCTGCCCAGGTTGGGTGGCCAGCTGTGCCCTCGAGGTGCCCTGCAGCGAGGGAGAGATTCTTTCCTAGAGATCCTGAAATTTAAGTTTGCTCTCACCTTCCAAGTGATTACGGAGAGGCTGCCAAGCTTGCTCAGCCAAATGCAAATGAGTAATTGCCTATGCTTTGCTTTTACAATGTGTTTGAGATACACAGGTATTTCGGTCTGCTCTCAGGAAATGGGGGAATGAAATAATTGGATTGTTGCTATGGAGCAAATATGCAGGCTCGTAATTTTTTAAACCTTTGCACTCCTAATCAACCTCTAAAACAATCAAAAGCGCGACTCCACATGGCAGAATATTATTTTTAACGGCTTCTTTCTGGTTGCCTTCTTTATATCCCTAGGGGTTTGCATTTCTTCACTTCAGAAGAAATCTCTTTTTGATTGCCTGTTCTTTAAATGAAAGCTGATATTTTTACATAATCATATGACTTTGGGAGCCAGAGTTTTAAGAGACAAAGAGACTTCTGGTAAAAATCATGACAACTGGCAAGGCAATGCAGGAAGGTTACAGCTGTCCCCAGGCTATTTCAAAGGTACTGCGAATACTATTAGGATACAGTAGTATGTAGTATGATAGTGTGTACTGTATAATACATGCTATATTTTACTACGACTTCAGTGACACCGTTATCTGGAACTGTTTGAACAGATTTACACTTTGTTCCTGTATCAGTTAATATTTTATTGTTACAAAGGTGTGTTTCCTTTTCATTACAGCAATTGTTGCTGGCTGCAATGAGAGAAATACCTCCCGAGACGCTTCTAATTCAGCGCTATCTGCACCAGCTCTTAAAAATATTGCCTGTATAAAAAAAGTGACATGAGATACTTTCACTTCAAATCAGAATGATGTGTGTTTCTGACACCGATGTAACACATTTGCACTGAAGGCAGGGCTCGGGTGATGGGGGGTTTGAGCTTTTCAGTAGAGCAGAACTCGGTGTGGGCAAGGTCTGCCTAGTTACATGGCTGGGACTCCACAGCCACCCTTCGTCTGATGGCAGACCGAGTGCCAAACCTGTGGTCTCTGAAACAGCCAGTGTGGAATGATTTTTTCATATGAAACATGCCTGAGAATTTTGTTTCGAATGGCAGGCAATGGCTTTTTATGTGCTCCTGCTCTGTGTTTCAGCCCAGTGTGCACAAACTGGCTCTTTCCTGCAACTTCTGAAACGAGTTTCTGTGCAGTGCCTGGTCTTCCCCTTACTGCGTTTTTTAAAAATGAAATTAAACACAGGGCCCTATTCAGCTGAAAACAACCCCTGCAGCTGGTACTGCCTGAGCTCTGTGAGTCTCCTGTGCTCTGAAGATATTAATACAATTCTTAAAGGAAAAATATGCCCTTTCCAGCAGCCACAGAGGAGGCTATTAGACATAATGATAATCCCACCCAGCAGAGCTGTTTTTCTGCAGAGAAAGTCATGCCTGTGCACAGTATCTATTTCTCCTGGGTCTAATAGGGCAGCAGAGAGCAGTGGCTGAAAGTATTTCTTCTTGGCCAAGCTTCAGTGAGTGAAATATTAACAGATCTATTCCATGCTCTGGTATTTCAACTGCCCCTTACGGACCTAGAATATGGAGAAGCGTGTGGATGGAAGAAGCAATTTATAAGGCTTCATAGCAGGACTCTCTCAAGAAGGAAAAAGATGGGGGTCATCCTGCACATGTTTCTTTAAAGGGAGCTTAAAGGGAGAAGGAAGAGGGATTCATGATTTGCCTCCATCTGTGGCCAAGTGGGTTTTCTGCATGTTTAAATTCCCCCTTTCTCCAGAGTTACTGTGGAGGTGGGAGCTAATGGCGGCATTGAATTACAAAATTTACAAAATACAGAATCAGGGAAAGATTAAGGTATGAGGGGAACTCTGAGGGTCCTGATATAAAGAGGATTCCCTTTTGTCTTTCTGTCTGGGAGACAGCTTATTCCCAGAGCTATGGTCCAGACAGCTGCCTAGCCTGCAGGAGCTTGTATGAGTTTCAGAGATTTCCCACTGGAAGCAGCCTACACTGGAGTAAGCCTGGTAAAAAGGCATGGCAGGTTTTAGAGTAGATGCCTGTAGTCATCTAAGGCAAAATAGCAAGGGATATAGCCAAATGTCAGAACCGGTAAGGATTAAAGAACAAAAGTACAGTTGAAACACCACCAGTTGCAGAGGCCAAAATACACGTCTACTTCAGAAAAACAAAAGTTGAACCTATTGCACGTGAACCATCTGTGGGAGGTTGTGGTTGAAGGAAGCAGACTATTCGTTCTAGATGTCCTAACTCATCTACAAATATAGTATGTGGCAGCTCAGAGCTTTTAAATTTCTTTGTTGACACATATTTTTAAGAGGAGTGAACTTAGACCAAAAGGTGAGGATGCAAATATTTAGTCATTGTAGGAAAATGTTACTGGATTTTCATGCAAGTTCTGTTTCTGCTTATCTGGTGTGCAGGTGTTTTGAACATTGATACTGGAACTTGCTATGGCAAGTGAGCAAGTAAAAATTTATATAATTTCATCTGGGAAGTTTTCTGCAGTAAAGTTCAGCCCTAATTTAGTAAATTACATTATTTTTAGACCACTTACTGCCAATTTCATAATACAGTGTTTAATGCCAAATTAAACCTGTGTGTTTTTCTTCTCTAATGATGGCCTGAGTAATTTTTGGCAATTTGACTTTTTTTTTTTTTTTTGCACAGGAGATAGGAACATAGAGCTTAACAGGAAATGTGTTTGGCTCATTGTCTTCCTTAATATCAAGAGAAGCAGGGCCTCAACCCTTTGGCTAATTATTCCACAATAATTATTATTCCCCAGTATTGCTGTTTAAATATTTTTTAACTTGCGTTTACATTATTTTATTCCCAGAGGCCTTTGGCAAGACTATTTAAGATGCTGATTTCTGCAAAAAATATAAGCATGAGTTCAACTTTGCCCCAGTGAGATAAATGACAACTTTGTATAGGGCAACAGTGCTGAGCCTGTGTAAAGATGCCTTGCTCTCCAAAGATGTTAGATCCTTGGTCCATGCCCACTGGCAAACTGCTGTGACTGTTAGTGGGCATTGCTAGAATCCATCACCTGCCTGGTGAAACTGTGGCCGTGGCTCACCTGTACTGCCCAGTGCAGGGCGGTTTTGAAGTCCTTGTCCACCAGAGTTGGGTCTGCTCCTTTGCACAGCAGCGTCTGGGCGTGCTGGGGCCTGTTGTGGAAGGCAGCCCAGTGGAGTGAAGTCATTCCCTGAAAGCCACAAACCCGGAGAGCAAATAATCGTCATTCAGGAGCACCCTTCAAAGCCGCTGTGGATGAGCTAGACAGTTCTGTAACCATTGGGCATGGCTTGATTTGGCATAATTAGTAACAGCTTCTGAATTAGTGGCGTCATGAGGGTGAACCAAGCAACTAGCTTTTTGGAGTTATTACAGAAAGTGGATACAAATACACGAATGCTTCTTTCGCACGTGACTATAGCCAATTACGAATGTTGTGTGGTCAGGACCACGAGGGCTGGGGGATGGTTCATCACTGCTCAGTTTGGATTCTGTGAGAAAAGCCTGCTTTAGACTGGTGCTTTGACATGACACAGTGACATGTTTATTTAGGTCTTATCTTTGATCCAAAATAAATATTATAAGCTCGAATTCCAGCTGGCACTAATCAACAAGCTAAGGAACTGGCCCAGTGATGTCAACAAAAAAGTCACAATATAAACATCTCCTATTTACTGTTTAGGGAGAAAACAAAGCAAATGGTAATTCCTTGACATGCATTTTCATTCCATCTTAGCTGTGTTCACTCTGTCTCAGTAGATCAGAGAATCCGTGACCTATATTTCCACCTTCATCATCATTGTTATACACACCTGCATTTTACTCTACATCCATAGTGGTACAGATTTTTGGTATAGACTTACACATTCAATGTTTTTCTTAAAATTGCTAGTGTTGTTCAGATGTGGTAATATTTTACTTTGGGCAGGTATTGTTTACTATCTCTTGTGAGGGAGAGTGCATTTCAAGGGTCTTCCCTGGTTTCAAAAATGATAAAAACCAAAAAATAGTAGAGTGGAAAAAGAAATTAAAACTTGACATAGAACCCCATAAAGCCAATTGGAAACAACTCAGGTAAAGTATGACCTATAAAACATCGATGCAGACAGCTTATCAGTACATTAACAGTGGAAGTTGTAAGCAGTGTTTTTCTAACTGAAAGCTTGAATGGCCTAACATTAATTTCTGTCACTCATCAGGTATCTTATAAGGCTTTTCAAGTCCCCAGAAGTATAGGTGATGACAAAATAAAGCAGTTGAACAAGAGCATAGAATCATAGAATCATA